CCGTAGAGACACCGGGAAAAGCACCCCGGGGCCGCCCCGCCGTGCTCTGCTTTCCCCCCATCCAAAGCGGGAGGCAGATGGGTGGGGGTTCTGGGTAGAATCAGGAGGGGGCTCGGCTCGATCCGCAAAGGGTCGAGAGAGCCGAAACAGGCTGTCGCCCCCCTCCCCTCGCTCCTGTCTGTCTCTCGGCCTGCCTGCCTGCCTGCCTGTCAGTCCGTGTGTCTCAGCAGGCTCGTCAGCTCTGACTCTCTGCAGACGCAACAGCCCGTTTCCCTGCTGAGCGGAACATGAGCCCGCCCTGACGTCTGTGTTCACCTCACCCGCAGACAAAACCTCGACACAACCCGGGGAACGGCTGACGAGCTGAATGACGCCGAAAGCCCAGAATGACACGCAGATGTAGCCTACACCACACTCCCCTCGCTGTCCCAGGTGATTAAGACGGCTGTATCATTGCAGGCGGGACGCGGCAGCAACACGTTCATCCAGCCCGGCCCGGATCACGGCAGCGCAGCAGCGTTCACTCCGCTGCTCTCGCCTCATCTGATCTCAGACATCGTGACAACTGTTGCTGCCTGTCTGACCGCCAAAAAAAAAAAAAAAAACGACGGTCAGTCTTTGACCACAAAACAGTGACGTCGCCGTCCGTCCGCTCCGGTGGTGTCCGACCAGCGTTGTTGCCCGGAGATCGGGGTCACAGTGAAGCCGCTCCCCTGCGCTCAGATCGGCGCTCCGCTGCTCTCCGCTCCGCCGCCGCCGCTGCTGCTACTGGCCAGACAATGGAGGCGCTCAGTGCGCAAACTCGGATCATAAGAACAGACAGGACAGGAGACAGTGCTGCTGGGAGAGGCCAAATACAATTTGTGTAAATACTAATCAAGGGGAATGGGCTTGGACATTTTCTGCAGTGTTACCTTAAAGCCTTTTGAATCATGGGGCACTTATATGGCAAGGTGTGGCAGTGGGCAGCAGGTGGCCCAAACTGAGCCTAAATTGGATTTTGTAGTCCTGTTTATTTTTTGTGATAGTGAAGATTATAAGCAACATACCAGGACTTCTTATAGAAGTTATATTTAAAAACAAGATGGGCATTATGACCAGATGTGAAACTAGTGGTTTTGTGTTTTTTAGCAGGCCTATGCATTTGTATCACCTTTAAACACCTGTCAGTATAGGCTACAGGCCAATCTATATCCTTATACCTAACACAGAGATTCCGTTGAGTCAGAAGTGTACATGAGGCTTGAACAATTTACATTTTTGAAAGGCTAGGGCATCCCCTCTGTTGAGTTTATTGCTTAATTAATCTGTTAATTGACAAATCGAAATAGTTGCCTTCTCTTTACCCAGGATTCTGCTTTTCTCCTTCACACTGTCAGGCCTTCAGCCAGCCGGCTGTTGTCATTACCAAGTCATGCACAGATTTTTTCACCATATGCTAAATTATTGGGATTACTGGCTCACATGTTTTGTTTGGGATTACTTGGTCTAATCCTGTATGTGTTCGTGTGTGTGTGTGTGTGTGTGTGTAATTAGACTGGTTTTATTCTGTCTGGCTCTTTGTTTCTTCACAATAACACAGTCAGTCTTGTACAGTCTTCTTGGCCTCACTACCCAATAAGGTAAACTGTAGTTAATGCAATAGGTGCTATAATGACAGCAAGCCTATAAATGGCCCCCTCTCTGCTCCTCAGGCATGATAAACACACACTCACTCACACACACACACACACACACACACATAGCCACACACATACACCATGCACACAATCAACTCAAATGGTTCTAATATAAATATTAGACCACAGGGAGAAAATACCTAAGCTTACAGGGCTGTCGGACAACTCAACTGTCTGGCAGTTTAATTTGAGTGCTTCCTGCCATTATCATTAAATGTACAGTAAATCTGAAGGCTTACCACACATTAAAATGTGCCAATGACACAGACGCAATCCAAGAATTAGAAGCATTTAGGCCTATAAAGATTCTAGACACACAGTCTTTTTAAGTAATAAGTAGCCTAAAGGAAGAAATCCCTTGTGTTTTATGACACAGTGGAGAAAACAAATATGAGCATCTTAATAAAAGCGAGGTGCACTTTCACACAGCTTGCAGTCATAACAAACTGGCTTCACAAATACACAGTGCAGGCAGGGCCATAGCCTGGATTATAGAAATACTGAGGTTATGACTTCAAATTCGCCGAAGCAGAATCGCACCTAACCTATACATGTTGGTAACATTTTCTAATATCACATCCTTTATTAAGTGTTTGTAAATTGTAAGTTATTAATGGGCAATGCATTATTTACTCATTTTTATGGAGAGGTTAAAACTATAAGCCATTCATATGAACAATTTTTGGGTTGCCAGGTTGGGAATATTTCCTCTGGCAAGTGTTTGTTGTCCAACAGGACACTTCTGGAACAATCTGTGGAAGATTTGGTCCAAAATGGTCCAATGATAACAAATTATCATCATTCATTAATACCGACCTGATTTTTTATCATACAGTGAGAAATCATAATTATTATTTAATAGATTACAAACATTTTTAATGTGTTACCAAGTAGAATAAGAATAATAACTACAAGAGGGATTTTCACAACCTGAAGAACCCAGAAGTTGAGTTGCTTTACCTGTGAAGCATTAATGATTTATTAACATTAATAAAATCAGGTTTAAAGCATTCTTAGTTACAGATTATAACCCCTTTATAAAGTATTACTAATTAGAAGCTCTTATGAGATTAATTTTATTTTTCTGCGTATTTAAAAAGAAAAACACAAAACTTCACATTTTATGTATTCATTATGTATATTACTGATAAAGTTGTTTTTTTAATGTAAATTTTATCTCCTTATATTAAGCTATAAATGGTGTTTTAGACTGTTCCTGACATTGCCAGATTAGATCCTTTTTATTTTGAACAGGCCAAATTAAATCCACATCCATATGTGTGTAATGGTAGAATCTAAACTGCACTTCTTGTCAAACCCTCCAAATTCACAAAATATAAATTAGGACATTACCTTGGTGTCCTCAATTGTAGCAGCCCTGACTGCAACCAGCTGCCAAAATGACACTGTCAATCACAGATCACACACATCTTCACTGCCTTTAAAACACTCATACTGTAAATGTGGCTGTATTACACCAGAAAGCAGGAAGTGGAACAATAAAAACACCAAATACAGACTTCAAAAAAACACCTGGCATCCACTGATTTAATTGAAACCAATACACATAAAGTATTATGTCATATAATGTAATGTTACGTTCAATTTAATTGCTATAGGTAGGTAGAAAGAGGCAATTTATTTATAGACAGACCATCACTAAACAGAGGAGGAGGGCTGAGACCCCACTTATCCCCCACTTACAATGCTGTCCCTTCATCATTCCCAGGTGAGTAAACAAACACTCACATTTGGCGTCATGTGACAATGCCAATGATGGTGGTTCAGACCTGGCCTCATGTGGCTCCGACCATGACAGTCGTTGCAACAGCGAGCAGCACGAACAAAGCAGTCTCTATCACCTTGATAAGGACCCCGCAGAGGCTAAACAGTTGGGATTCTCTGCCAGACAGTCAGAACTGAAGAAGCCCCTCGGATGAGAGGTCCACTTACCCTTGATTTTAACCTTCCTTCCTGGATGAATGAGACTCTTCACAGACATGCACACAACTCAAAAAGTCTTTCGACTCATAAACACACAAGGAGGAGGAAGTTGTGCAGTTAATGGCTGAAAGCTGTGACAACAACATTTACAGGCCCACCGAGGCAGAAATGAGCATTTTATTTTACCTTCTAATCTTACAGACTGAGACACTGCATGTTTGTCCCAAAGTCTGTCCCCACTGAGGGGATGCACTGCTGACACTCTGTGGTGGAGCAGAGAATTGCTTCTTCACTGTAACAGGACAACAGGATCAAGTCCATGTCATCGTAGTCTGACTTCTAAGTTGTCAAGTTTGTCCTTTTGTCTGTCCATTTCAATGTCCATGGGATCATGATGTGAAAACAAACAAAAAAAGAGATAGCTCTACAAATTTCCATTGTACATGGAGTGAAGAGCCTGATACACCAAGCACAAACTAGAAAATTAACTTCTCCTTGATCTAGGCTACTTGGTGTTCAAGACATTAAAACCTGTCTAAGGAGGTGGGACCATTTTACCAAACGGTTTAAAGAAACATTTTGACATTTTGGGAAAAAGCGCTAATTCACTCTCTTGAGAAAATAGATGCCACTCATCACATCATATCTGTCCAGTAACTTTGAAGCCTGAGCCAGGAGAGGGTTAGATTAGCTTTGCACACTTCTTAGCAAGACTAGAAGCAGAGGGAAACAGCTAGCCTGGCCTCCCAGCACCTCTAAAGCTCACTATAGCATAGAGGTGCAAAAGGCTTTATATCCAGCCCCAATGATTTTGTTATCTTTGGACAGAGCCGTTTCCCCGTTCCTAGGTAAGATAACCTGCAGCTTGCTCCAGTTACAAATTTTACAGACAGATATGAGAGTGGCATCGTTCCTCTCATAACGCCCAGCAGAAAACAAATGTGTATTCACCAAAACTAGTCCTAGTCTAAGAGAACTAGGGTTAAAACCAATCTGTATGGCATCCTGTTAGAGATTTAACATCTGACATTGTGCAAGTTGTCCTCCAGATTGTGTCAGATACACAGTATGTCATGTAGTTATATAACAGCTTGTCATGACGGCTGTTGTTTTGTCCATTTTATGCAGGAAGTTTTATACTCTGTTATAATGTGTCACTGTTTAACACAGTGCTGATATATGCAAGGGCAAAAAAACTAATTATTTTTATTTTTAATTAACAAAAATGTCAGTTGTTTTTTTATCTGTTCACACCTCAAATATATTCAATTTACAATCATATAAATGTAAAGTAGCAAATCAGCCAAACATTAGCATTATTGCTTGATATCAAATAATCAACCCAAACAGACACTAAATAAAGAGGCAAAAAACTGATTCAGATTCATCACAATATTACATTTTCTAAACAAAATGTTAATAAAATCAGTCATCTGCAAAAGATTCTGCTTCTGACCATTTACATTGTTATAGTTCTGGTGGTTAGCAGTTCAGTCAGGCAAAGCAACCCTCATTTAATGTAAGTACACTGTTTGCATATTTTATATTTTTCTACATTACATGATATTCGTGATTCACTTGAATTTCTAAATCAAAGACTTTTCCAATCTGGAAAAGAGAGCATTATTACTGGTGACCACACAACAAAACCTTCACATATTTGAGTATAGTCCGATATGTCTCACATTAAACAGTGTCATACTCATGTTGATTTGTTTTCACTTATGAGTGATCCCTGCCCGTTATCTTTCATACAACAGTCTCTAAAAATGCCCCTGATCAAACAGTGAGCAGATCATGATGAGGTTCTCTGTGTTTAGTGACTTTCCCTCAGACTAAAATACTGTTTATAGTTCTCTAGGCTGCAGAATTTTCTCAGGATTCATCAGGCCCTTCGGGTCGAGGGCGTCCTTGAGACCTTGCATGACCTGGATAGCCATGGGTCCCATCTCCTCACACAGCAGCACTCTCTTCCCTAAGCCCACTCCGTGCTCCCCTGTACATGTACCATCCATGGTCAGGGCTCGCCTAGAGGGAAAACAAAGAACATTCATTTACCGGAAACAATGTAGTGTTTATACAGTACTGTACGAGAGTAGCCTGTATTAAACTTTAAGTTATGTTACTGAAATATTTACTGTAAATACTAGCCATGATGTGTGTGTCAGGGAGGTAACGGACATACAGCTTACTCCAGAGTTTGCCAAGACATGCTGTTGTTGTGATGCTAGCTGTAGTAGGCTAGCAGGAGAGCTGTAAGTGTTGCTGTCTTGAGCTGCTGTGGGAGCGTCTCCTTCTCTCATGTTAGCTTTGCAGCAGCAAGTAGCGTCAGTTTGCTAATCCACAACATGCCTAACATTAGTTACATTACTTGCTGTGTTGTTGTTCACTCTATCATGGTATTTGTCATGGTGTTGGATTTACCCCACCTTTATAATGCAGAGAAATATCCCGAGTTACAGTTGGAATTTACAAAAAAATGTTCTAGATCGGGATATGTATCGTTATTGTGATATGAAATGACCTATATCGGGATATAGATTTTTTGCCATATTGCACAGCCCTACTGTCGCTACAGCTGCTGCTGTGAAGCTAACATGCAGAGAAGACAAGACGGTCCCAGAGCAGCACAGCAGCTCCAGACAGCGATACTTAACAACTCTCCTGCTGCTACAGCTGTCTTGGCAAACTCTAGAGTAAGCTGTATGTCCGTGGGCAACTCTTTTAACGTTACCTGACACACAGGTCACCTGGCTGGAATAGTGTTGTGTGGCGGGATACGCATCACTTTGTTTCGCATTTACAGAGCCCTGGCTGTGTACAAACACTAGATTCTTCTTCACAGCACCAGCACACACAGAATGGACAGCTAGCAGTCCGTGAGGTATTGTGAGATATTTGCTGAATTTGACAAAAAACCCCGGTAGATTGGACTAGAATCACTTACTGCCCACCTTTAAATATCAATAACTTGGTAACCATAACAATCTCACACTTTATCCCTACACTTAACTATTGCTAACCTAATACTTAAACATAACCAATTCTGTAGAAGCCTTTATGTTCCCACTATTACTCTGTATATCTCTGGCTTTCTTCATGTACTCCTCTGTGCCTTACAATTTGGGATCTAGGACTGACCCTGGTACAGCCAGTAGTTTTTACAGGCTTTCAAAACAGATTTGGAAAAGATTGTGTAGGCATTTAGCATAATTCTCCATTTATGGACAGACAACACACCGTCCAACAAACCTTTTAAAAACCCAATACTTAAAGTTAAGTCTTCTGAAATCAATATCAGCTAAGAGAGATGGGTGAGAGTGCGATACCAAAGGTGATGTGAGTTTGTCTGAAAGTAGGTGAGCAGAGTGAAAAGGATTAGGCAAAGTGTGGGGAGGATTAGGGAGAAGAGAAAGAGTTGAAGAGTGAATGACACAGTAGATAACAAGGAAAAAGTTGTTAAACGGGAGCAGTGAGGCTTTTCAACCTGACTGGCTTCAGGGCAGAACATTTACTTGCAGGACACATCCTTTAACAACTCTTTAAAAAAAAAAAAAAGAGATTAGTGTTGTTATAATCTGAAATTCAGGTCAACGTTGAATCTAGTACATGACGGCTACCGAGGTCAAATACTTATTCAGTGTTTACTACAAGGCCTGTACAGTAAATGGGTGTTTAACTGAGGTGTAGGCTTCTTGTGTGTCTGAGTGTGGGGAGAAGAGAATTCCGAGGAAGGTGACAAGCATATTTAAAATTTATTATAATAATGTTCGTGGTGATTAAAACCTGCTTTCACATGGTGATATTATGTGAAAAATTACATTTTTTTTGCCGGGGGTCGCGGTTTTACAAACCCTAGTGTCAAGTAAGAGTGATGATACTCACAAAGTGTCTCCCAATTGAATAACAGTGGTTCACGGTGTTAAGAATTAGTTCATAAGGTATGCTCACTGAGAACAATGTGGAGGATTTGTGAGAAAGTGAGAATTGTCAGAGGACAAGAGTGTAGAGGTTCAAAGGAGCATTACCTGGCCAGTCTCTCAGTGAACAGGTGGACCCTGTGCAGCTCTTCTGGGTCATTGGGGTCCACCACCATCAGACAGTGGAAGTTTCCATCACCCACATGACCTGCTATGGGACCTGAAGGTGCAGAGGACAGCATTCACACTAATTATTCCAGAGAACATACAACATCATTTTTATTTGACTTTGTCATTCTAAGCCCTTCTCACATGATCTTTGTACAGCGTGTTAGTACAGGAAGAAATAAAACAATTTCCTTTTAAAAATGAGAAGTTAATTTCATCTGCAATAAAACAGGGTTTGCTGCTCCAGCCTTACTCGGTGTGGCCAGCAGCTTTAAGTGGCTAATGTTAATTACTGGGTCGTGTCCAGATGGCAACGCTGACTTTCGCTTCCACACGGGACACAGACAGAAAGCCCTGAAGGCAAACTTCACCCACGTGCAGAATCAAAGTCCACAAATCTCGCAAGAGTTTCGCAAATCTAGGACTACCATCTAGCCCCGACCAGATTACTGTGTAACTGCCATTACTGAGTCAGTCTGCTGACTTAACAACTCTTTCGCTGCTTCTGCTACTGCATGCAAGCCTTTACTATTATGCCATAATTGTCACATGTAGCCACAGAGCAGTTTTAGTTCTGCCATATCTTATTTACTTGGTGAATGGGTAATCATAACAGAGGTATTCATTATTAAAGAAATAAATTTAAATATGCTGAATCTATTTATTTTGTATTCGTTAAAGGCTTTGTAAAACTGCTAAACTCGCATGCCACACTACAACCAGTTCAACATGAAGCTTTATGTTTTTAATTGGTGGACAAATCTGATGAAGTTGCGATTTATGATATAATTTCTTACGATAGTTCGCCTTAACAAGAATGACTATCGGATGTTGTCGATGTGGCCACTACACACTCAAAATCGAATTACATGCTGGCCACATCCATATGCAAGCCCACGTTAAATGGTATACACAAACATAGTCCATAATGCTAAAACTGCATTTTTAAATATACTACTTATTTGTGAAAAAAAAGTAATACATCACTAGCGCATACACATAACGAATGCATCAAATCATTTAAGAATCAATTTTAATCATTAGTAGCAATCTTGTGACTAATAACTACGACTGTAATGTATCCCTAAGACATATCCTGCCAGTCCATCTACTTTTTTTGCACTTAGTGTAAATACTCTGACTGTAATAATACACATTGCATGATACAGGATACTATAATGCACCTAGTAGTAATAGTCACACTGAATCATTACAAGCGTTATGAACATTATTAACCCAGAGTCATGTAACACCAATAATATTGTTCTCAGCAGTTTGCTCACCTGTAAGTCTGTTCTCAATCAGGTCCTCCTTTGTCTCCACTATGATCTGAGGCAGTCGAGACAAAGGGACACACACATCCGTAGCGTAGGCCTGTGGGACACACACACACACGCGCACAGAAGATAAGGTCACAGTACTGGAATTGCATCAAGTGGTTGTACTTTGCAATCACTAGGATTTAAAACGTTAATAAGGTGCAACATTAAACTGCCTCAGACTGGTGATGGAGTTAGTGTAGCACAGAGCTATCAGACAAAGCCCTTCAACCAGTGGAGTAATTCACTACTCTGTTGTTCTCATTAAAAGGCAACACATTTAAGCAGCATCCTGTATCCCTTTACCTTGAGCTCAAATGCTATTGAGTTTTCCGCACAGCAGTCACAGAGGAGAGTAATATTGTGGTAAGTGATAATAACATGATACTGCAAGCTGAATGTTGTTTTATCCCTTTGGAATAGTTATAATGAACAATATTACATCTACCTGACCCATTGATCCTCTTATACCTTTACCTCCCATCAATCTGTGGTGTTCAGGGAATTAAAGGAGCTGTTTGGTGGTGAAATGTACTATTTTACTTTGCCTGTCTCTGTACACTTCTAATAGTAGTGTTTTCTCACATCAAGCACAGGACAGAGCAGAGGTCTTTTAATATTGCTTGTTGTTTTCAGTTTCAAAATATTATGAGGAGTCAGCAGTAACTTTAAGACTACTATGTTAAAACCAGCTCGTTACAAGTAGCGGATGACTTTCTTTACCTTGCAGCCAGGTCTGAGAGCCAGAGCAGCGTACCAGGCATCATGACGAGCTTTCCACAGCCGGCTCCGTGTTTCTGGATCTCTAGCCCACTGAAAATCTGAACCACCATTACTCTGAGTGATGTCCTCTGTAGAAACACACACCAAGACTATTTTAGTTCTGACCCTTTAGAACTGCCATGCCTACACTGCCTGTGGTAATAATGTTGATTGACCAGTTGACAACCTGAATGTTGCGGCTCCTTCTACCTTTTAGTGTATCTGTTTTAGGTTTTTGGTAGGCTAGTAAGATAAGCTAGAGTATGTTAGCAGTCAACTGTGCAGCTATAATACAGAGCTTTTGTTGAATAACAGCATTTTATCAAATACTGTTATGAAGCGGCAACCTCCGGGGATGAAAAATGAAGCCAACATGAAATTCCCATTGACCCCAGAGTTAAAATGCCCAACTTTACAGCAACAATAAACATGTTAACAGCCTGGTGCAAAAAACGTTTTTGGTCGCTATAGCTAATTTTCCCATTCATGACAACTTTAGAAGGGGTGAATTTTAAATAACTCACCCATTTACATTATATTAAGGCTTAAAGTTAAATGCATAATTCAAGGTGGGCCGGTATGAGTGACGGGGGGTGTCGTCATAGGTAGCCAGCCTCTAGGTGGTTCAGCAACCAGGCTTTATTCAGACTGCCCCAGCTCCACCTCTTTACCCATTTTTGGATTAGCCAGAGTCAGGGACTGCCAAGATGGCAACAGCTGAAGCCACCCACATTGAGCGTTAGTGGCTCTTCAGAAACCCATGGCTAACATTTTTAGGCAGTGTTTCAGCTATGCTAGCAGCCCTGTTCGGTTGTAATGCTGATTATACAGCATTTGGAATATTAGCATGCTTGCAGGCAGTTAGCATGCTAACATGCAAGTGTGTCCTTCCATGCTAATGTGCTTGCACCAACAATTAACATGCTGACATTTAATGTATGTGAAATGTCAGCATGTTGGCATGCTATGATTTGCATGTTATCATTCTCATTGTTAGCATAACATCCTCCACATTTAGTATGTTAACGTTAATATATTGGTCATCGTGTTAGTATGATAACATGCAAATGTTTTCCATGTCTTATTGTGCTAACAGTATGGTACTTCAACTTTAATGTAAAATTAGAGCAGAGGTTGGCGGGAGTTTAAGTTAGTTGAGTTTTAGCGGCATGTCGAAGTGTCCCGAAGAAAGACACTAGGCCAGAGCCATTGTTAAGATTATTGGTTTCACCTGTACTTTGTCAGACGTCTACTGTTAAAACGGCCACTTTTGACCTAATGGTGACATTCATGGATGTATTAAGAGAGCTGGATACAGTGCAGTGAGCTAGTCCTGCTCCCAGTTTGCCCAACTGGCCGACCACAGTACTTCAACTTTAAAATCACCTGCAGCCCAAAAAGCATTTTTCCCATAGACCGCCATTATAAAAGACATGTCTGTAACTGTTGACAGTTTTAGAGTCCTGTATCCAGGTCTCCTATTAATACATCCATGGTGGCACTACATATAAAGTCAGGGAATTACCAGGGTCATTACAATTCATCCTAATCTGGGGAACCACAAATATCTACCACCAAATTTCCATCCAGTAGTTTAGAGATTTCACTTTGCAATGAAGAGATCACCACTGCTATCCCTACACCTACGCGGCTAGCATGGCTAAAACCAAAAATATCTCTCTACCATACCCTGTCTCATGTGTGGCTGAAAGTATGAAATGCAATACATTATTTGGCTTTGCTGCTGACAAACGTGCAACGTTTAAATCCAGGCATTCAATTTATACTTCATTTCATCGACAAGATGACACATAATTCTGTGATAAAATATTTCTGTAAACAAAACAGATTTTCACGTAAAAATATATTACCATTGATAATAATTTGAAATGTTAACTTTATATATGCACAGTATATTAGGTTCTTATCCAACAGCAATGGTACCCTATGGGACTTAAGCTGATTTTTTTACACTCACACACCGGTTGTGTTGACCTGTTCCTCGAGGCTTCGTTCAGAGCCGTGGAACTCCAGGAACAGAGTCGGGGTCATGGGGTAGGACAGAGAGCTGAACTGTTGCACGCATCAATCATCACATCATCCAGAAACTCTGGATAACACATATTTCCACAGAGTCAGAAAACAAACACAGAGAAGAAAGACAAAATGTCAGTGTGATGTATCCAAACAGGCCATTCTTCTGACTTCTGTCAACTTTTACTTAAGGGTCAAATATGTACTTTCCAACTGCCAGTAACTGAACTAATTTTTTGATCCAATTCTCACTCTTGTATTCTTTTATCCTTCCACTGCAGGTACCAATGTTTACTAAGAGGTCAATAAAGTTCCATTGATTCCTTGTTTTGTCTCTAAGCTAAGTTTTCCCAAACCCCATTTTTCCTATATCTCCTGGCTCTTTTATATTTCATTAAGACTTATGATGTCCACGTCTAGGCGGGGTGATTACATTAACATGGCTAACACTTCACACACATTTAGATCCCCTCCAGTACAGTGCTTATATGTGGGCCAAACTAGTCAGAATGGCCTGGAGATACCCCTACAATTCATCCATATTTAATTTCATCTTCAGTCTTGACCACATACTGTGAAGAAAGAGGCAGATTATCAAAGACATGATCTGAAGAGATGTCTTCCTCTTTGAGCATGTTAGACGCTCAAAAGTTTGATTTCATTGTTAAAATTCTCTTTGTACATCTCAGAAACAGGAAACTTTGTCCAAATCAGCTGCAAAAGATTCTCTCTCAATCTCTTTGTGGCAAACAGCGCTGTCTTTAGCACAGTCAAAATATGGATCTATCAAATCCAAGTTAATCCTAATGAGTTTTTATTTCACTGCACCATCCCTTTATGTGTCGAGCAGATTGGTGTCTCTTAAATCTGGTCTTGCTGTGCTTGAGGTGATGCACCTGTTTAGAACAGTCATAGATTGTGGACTTTCGAAGTACTGTAAGTAACAACAAGAGCTATTTTTCACATGTGTCCATCTTAAATATGCTTAAGGAGGAAGCCATCAAATCACATCTCATCATTGACCGATCACATATTTACACGGTGTGATAAAAAATTCCTTCTAGGTTTTAAAAAACGTTGGTTTTGACACAAGACGTCAGTCACAGTAAATTAATTGCAACAGACTTCTTGAGCCTTGTTCAGACTGGAACCAGATGGGGCCTGGGGTTGGGGGTGTGTAATGATTGACTACTGAAGCCCCATTCCTACTAGACCATTGTAGCATGCTTTAGCCATGCCCTGATGTGCTGTGCTGTGATCCATTTTATCTCACTGCACTCATCCAGCGGGGGATAACCAGCATCATTTTACTGTATGGAAGGGCTAGTCCATGATGCCTTTCACCCTCAGCCAAGTTGTGTCATCGCTGTTAACTGATTGGCTCAACATGTGTGCTAATGCAGGCGACTACAGAAAGAAAAAAGTGACTAAGTTATGCCCAGCTTCTATGTTCCTGTCCTTTACCAGTCACAGGGTCTGTAGGCAATTTATACAAACATTTGAAAAATGCCAACACACAGTTTACTTATGTGACACTAGGTTTCCATCCAAATCTCCTAAATAAAGTAGTAATAAATGCAAATTAAGGCAAGTTTCCATCCACTTTTTTATGTGAATATTATAATAATAATAATAATAATCCTTATTTGTAGAGCACTTTTCAAAAACAAGTTACAAAGTGCTTTAACAAGTGTAAAGAATAATACAAAAAAGATAAGAGCATGAATATTTAATATAAAATTAGTAAAATACAATAAATATAACTCAAATAAGATCGGGAAAAGCTCTCCTATAAAAGTATGTTTTAAGAAGGGACTTAAAAGAGTTCACCGACTCAGCCGACCTGATTTCCTGGGGCAGGCTGTTCCAGAGCCTCGGGGCCCTGACAGAAAACGCTCTGTCCCCTTTAGTTTTCAGTCGAGACTCTGGAACAGACAACAGACCTCTGCCCGAGGATCTCAAGGTGCGTGCTGGTGTGTATGGGACTAAAAGGTCAGAAATATAACAAGGCTGAATGTGCATTTGTTTTTTGTGTTGAAGTCAAATATAACCGCTAAAGTATCTCAGTTTGATTGGCATGTATTTGCGTGAGCCATGGGATGGTCTCAAGTATGATCCAGCAAGTGTAGATACTTGCACAGTTGAAGCTGTATTTGTCGTGTTTTTCCGCTGCTGCTTCACATTAAATGTTAACATATGCAAACCTCTCAAAGTATTTTATTGTGAAGCAGCTCCAAGTGGTGCAGTATTATTTGTCACCAAGGTTAGCAACTGACAGCTAACACCGTGTTCAATAAAATATATTGAAATATGTTGACTGTTGTATGGAAAAAGTGCAGTTATCTATTGTATGTATGTTATGTATATTCTAGTCACCAATGCGAGCGATGGGTACTCCTGATTGCAGAACCTGCACTGTGCTGTCTACAGCAGCCTGGACCGACGGAAAAGAGCAAACGGCTGACACCACGGCCTCTGGGATGCCGTATAGGCGCAATGTAGTCTTAGTGATGATCCCCAGGGTGCCCTCTGACCCCACAAACAGGTTTGTCAGGTTATAGCCTGCTGAGGTTTTCCTAAAGATTGATAAAAGATAGAAAAGAAAGGCAATAGCATTTAAGCCGCCAGAGGGCAATACGGCATATTTGAGGGTGCAAACAGATATTGTGTACCTGGGACGTCGGCCCTTCCCCGCCGTGTGTATGATGGTCCCATCAGCCAGCACCACCTCCAGGTTTAAGGTGTTTTCTCTCATAGTTCCATAACGCACTGCATTGGTGCCAGACGCACTGGTGGCAGCCATACCACACACAGAAGCATCGGCCCCAGGATCTGAGACGATTAAAGCACATCATTAGCATTTATTATTATTTAAAAGTTATTTTTAAAAGTGATACACAGACAGAACATGTCAATCTACTATAATTCTGTCACACCCACATTTGTGTGATCTTGCAGCCAGTGCTTGACCTAAAATTCAGTTTTTAGTTGTTTTTTTTATTGTTTAATTTTCACTTAGGTTTTTTATATAAACTTGAAAAATCACTTTGGAGGTTAAGATACCTTATACAACATCCCCACCTGCTGGATGTATTAAGTTAAACTACTTTAATGTCAGCTAAAAAGGGTTAAAAAAAACATTTTAAAGAGGTCATACTATGCTTTTTGACTTTTTCCCACTCCTTTATTGAGTTATATACCTATTTTGTGCATGTAATAGGTTTGTGAAAAGTGAAAAAGCCCAAAGTCCATCCCAAAGGGAGTTCCCATCTCCCACAGAAAACTCTGCTCTGAACTGCCTGAAAACAGCTCGTTTGTAGTTCAGCCCTTTCCTTTTGTTCTCTGTGACAACAGCAAAATGCGCATCATAATGCTCGCCAAGCAGCTAGTCCGACATGGGTAGAAAAACTGTGAGATTGAGCTACTGGAAAATACAGTGAAAACTAAGAAACTGACCAACAGGAAACCATAAGCCGGTGTCTCGCAGGTAGGAGTTGAGGGCCTTCCGAGTCACACCAGGCTCCACCGTCACGTCAAAGTCCTCCTGGTGGAGATCCAGAACCTGGTCCATGTTCCTCAGACTGAAGCACACACCACCCTAAGGGAAAGGAGAAGGAAGAGAGAATACCCAAATATTTGTTATTTTGTAGTTTTCATGCTCGTAGTGGCTTTTTATACACCATATATTACATTTCCCAGTGTAAATTCCAATGTTGTACAGCAATTGCAATTTTGCCACTTAATGTCATTCATCTTTGTCATTGAATTGTCAGTACATTTTCGCTTAAAGTGGCTATCAGCTCACTGTTTATCCGTTTACCTGTTTATCTGCTGTAACTTCACTATTTTGGTTCACTTTCACTGGGCTCATAGTGTTTTCAGCTGCAACAGCCAGCCGTTTTCAATGAAAAGGCCACATGGTGAAAAAAAACATGGTGGAGAATTTAGCAGCTAAAAAGCCAGATATATAAGAGAGTGAATGTTGTACTTACATTTGGCAGGTGGTCGGACACACAACTTCAAATGAATGATAATGTCGCCTGATAACTGCTGGATGCATATAAACTCACCAGCCACTTTATTAGGTACACCTGTTTAATAGCTAATCAGCCAATTCACATGGCAGCAATTCAATTGCTACTTCCAGCAGGATAATGCACCATGTCAAATCATCTCAATCTGGTTTCTTGAACATGACAATGAGTTCACTGAACTCCAATGGCAACAACTCTGTAATGTTTCCGGTCTGTCCACCGTAAAACGAAACTTATGTCGCCTCGGCAACAGCACAACGGCATCTGATCAGAAAGCACCCGGTGTTCTGCCAGCGGACCACAGACAAGGTAACAGTAACAGCAACTTTAGCATTAAACTGAAATCCTGATTGATTGTTGAATTGAAGGCTAGCCAAAGTAAGCCCTCAGTAAGTCCTCAGTTGAAAATGTACACGTGCGTTTGTTGTTCTCCTTTTTGCGCCGCGAGTTGTAACCTCACAGTCATGAGTTAACTGGGTGTTGGGAGCTGCACCTTTTAACTCACCTGCTGCCCGCCGCCGAGCACAAATACTTCTTAAACGACACATCGATGAATCGTTGAAATAATCTATAGAAGCTACAAATACTAAAATCCTCGTTAGCTGCAGCCCTACATAAAACTGTCTTATTACTGCTCCTATTTCTCTCACCTTCACTGCGCCGACCCCTCCCTCCAGGCCAGTTCCAGTGCCAAAGGGGATGATGGGAAGGTGGTGGTTGTGGCAGACTTTAGCCAGGGCGCTGACTTCCTCCACACAACGAGGAAACAGCACCACATCCGGGGGACGACATCTGGAAAGCAGCAATACGACTCACACTCACTCGTCTTCATAGTTCTCCACTAAATAGCACCTTTGTTATCACCCCTTGCTGAATTCAGCAGGAAATATTTCTGTACATTTACAAGGAAATCATTGATCTCCAGGCAACCAACACTACTGGTGCCGTCATGGAGGTCCATATTGGGAGATGTCTATGTGCAAACAACCTCTTTTACAAGCAGACTAAGAGGAGAGATGGGCTGCCAGTACACTCTGATGGTCTAATTAGCTTCAGGAACCCTCTCCCCCGAAACCTTTCCGACATCAGTCCAGGACTGTGCTGTGTCTGACCATTTTTGCAACTTTCCGAAGCAGACAACCCAGCATTCAACATTCACACCCACTTTACACCGTGATTGGCCAGCTGTGCAGAGGTGACAATTTGAAGTACTGTGTGCATACATCCTGCAGCTCTCTGTCTTTCAACCACTGGTATCATTTCCTTTTTGTTTACTGTCACACAACTTGTTACGGTGTTATCTTGGGATAAATTTAAGTTTTTAGAATGTTTGCATAGTACTGAAAACCAGTGTGTGTCTGTGAGAGAGACTGACCTGTGTACAGACTCATCTTTGCCGTGCTGCTCTCTGACAGCTTCACCCAATGAGACGCCGTCCTCACCACATATAGACCTGAATGCAGAGAGCACGCTGTCCAGAGCAGCACTCTGTGCAGAAACACAAACATAAATGATTACACACAGTGAAGGCAAGTGAGTCACCACAAGAGAGTGGGAGGAAAGACTTTGATAAGTGATGCTTTTGTAAAAATGTGTCAAACTCTATTCTTCAAAGTGTCAATTAATTGTGTCCCTGCTTATCAACAAAAGCACCTGGCTGGGCCAACAATGACAAATCAAGAGCCACTGAAACACGCGGCAAGTTGGTGTTCAGTTCCTGGCCAATGCAGCTTTTTAAAAAGCTTATCAGACACAGATGTTATGTAAGGCAAGACAAGTTAATTTGTATGGCACATTTCAACAACAAGGCAATTCAAAGTGTTTTACATAAAATATAAAAGCAACATTAAGGAAATATAAAAAGCTATTTAGATCCAACTACAACAGGTTTAAATAGAAAACAAAAAATAAAACAGAGTAAAAAAGTAAAGTGCAGTGTAAGATATTAATGAAAACCTCAACTATGATTTAATAAAAGGAAGCTGCAAAAAGAGTCTTCAGTCTTGATTTAAAAGAAGAGTTTCAGCAGACCTGCAGTTTTCTGGGAGTCCAGATACATTGACAGAGAGCAGACCTGTCCCAGACGACCTGAGAGGTCCGGATGGTTCATAGTGTAATACAAGATCAGGAATGTATTTTGGCCCTAAATCTTTTAGCTTTATAAACCAAAAGCAGTATTTTGAAATCAGTTCTTTGACTGACAGAAAGCCACTGTAAAGGCCTCATAACTGGAGTGATTTGACCCACTTTTTGGGTCTCAGTGAGGACTCGAGCAGCAGCGTTTTGAATCAGCTGCAGATGTCTGACGGTCAGGTCCATGACTACACCAAGATTTCTGGCTTGGTTTGTGGTTTTTCAACATTGCTGACTGAAGCTGAACACTGACTTTTAATTGTTCTTCCTTGGCTCCAAAAAACAAAAACAACTAACAAACTATCTATTATGTTTAATTGAAGAAAATTCTGGCACATCTATTCGTTAAATGTAAGTCGCTTCGGATAAAAGCATCTGCCAAATGAGTAAATGTTAATGTATTCAATTAATTTACTGAGCTTGTATGGGATCGTAGTTCCCTGGTGATATGGTTATGTACATCTGTGTGTCATCTGCATAATTATGGTAACATATTTTTGTTGTTTTTCATAATCTGAGCCGGTGGAAGCATTTAGATGTTAAACAGAAGAGGCCCCAGAATAGAGCCTTGGGGAAATCCATATGTCATTTTTATGAGCTCAGACGTGTGATTAACTATAGACACAAAGTAGACTCTGTCTGTTAAGTAGGATTCAAACCACTTTTGTACTGTGCCAGACAGTCCCACGCAGTTTTCCAGTCACTAATGTGCTATGTTCGACTGTGTTGAATGCAGCACTAAGATCCAATAATGAGACTGAAATTCTGAGACTGTCTGTTTAAATGGATGTCACTGAAGACCTTAACAAGGGCCATCTCAGTGCTGTGGTGTGTTGGAAATCCTGACTGGAAGACATCAAAACAATTGTTTAGCACGACAAAGTTGTTAAGCTGTTAAAAAACAAATTACTAAAAAATGTATTATTTTACTCATATGTCATAATGAACCTGGAGATTTGTTTTTCGCCACCAGCGTCCAGCTTTTCAACTCTCTTTTTTCTACTCTTACCAGCGTGACTCCATGGAAATCTTTTCTTACCAGAGTCCACCTTCCCTTTCGTGAGTTCAATGGCATCAATAACATTTGTCATTTTAGAATTGAAATGATATACAGGCTCATTGACTGAGACCCAAGAGAGGGTGGGTGTGGAAGAGAAAGCCTGAATAAATATCCCACTGGTCTTTTCAGTGATATACTGTTTTGTGAAATACGCCTGTACACATTTGTGTGCACTGAGATAGCGCTCTCAAAAGAAAACGCAAGAATGATCACCACAATCCATGGAAACGTTCACACCCTTGGAGATGATAAAGTCCAGAGTGTGCCCCTTATTGTGTGTGTGGGACCTGTTACATGCTGACTCAGCCCATAATTATCAAGAACACAACACAGTTCTTTAGTCCCTCTGTCCTGGGAGTTGTTAAATGTTAAAGTTAGGACTGAAGTTAGGAGGGGTAGACGCTATAAGAACAGCTGCCCTGTTATCTTGGTCTAACAAAGTGTTTTGAAACATGAAATTAAGATTGTGCTTGATGATAAAATCATTGATTAAAATGATTTTTGAGACAGGCTGCAAAATTCAAGAAATTGATGCTAAATTTGCAGAATCTATTGGCTGCTTCCTGATTCTTAACACATTCACCATACTTTTTCTATTACCTATCAAGACAGGAACTGAGAAGGCTACTGGCACACTGGGCCCTGGCTTGTCCTATAGAGTCATGAGTGCCATGTAGCCTGGACCCAGCAATCACTTACAGCTTGGTGTATTTTGTACACAAATAACTGGACGTGCTGTGCTTTTATCAGACTGTGGAGACAGAGGAAGATTATGACACTGTTGTTGGGCGGAGGGACAATTGTGTCACAACTGGCTGAGGAATTAAAGCCAATGGTCTAATGCTGCGTTCCATTTACCTTGGAAGTTGGAGGTCGGAACTGGGAATAACGTCACACCCGAGTTGATGGCGTTCCAGTTAACAAGTCAGAAAACCTCGCTCAGCCAGCTATTGTTAACAAATAGCCAGATTAGCTATTGATTTGCCGGTTGATAAAAAAACGCATTGTGTGGTATTTACTCACACTAAACACTGTAGCAACACGTCCACAGACAGCAGCTGGACAGCACTTTGTGTACGATCATTTCTATGAGTCACAAGTACACCGAAGTGCTAATAAACAGTATAAACTACAGCTTTCATTAACTGTTGATACCCCGACAGTCATCTAGGCTTACAAAGTCGGGGCAGTGCAGTTCTCTGACTTCCCTTTGAAATTTTGAACTTTGAAATTCCGACTTCCCATGTCAAATGGAATGCACCATAAGTGGACACTGCAGGGGGTTTAGGGGAGAGAGAATGGGAGAGTAGGGTGAGGGAAGGGGTAGGGGGAGTTGTTTGGGCAGTTCTTTCTGTGAACTCCAAGGGGGGGTGAGGAGGGAGAAAGGGTGACTGGAGATGAGGGTGACCTGGATGGGATGAACAAGGTCAATTATAGACTATGTACTATAGACTGAAGGAACCTTCAGGGCCCTGTTTCAGAAAGCAGGCTTAAAAAAAGTTGATTGAGCCTGAGATGGTTCTGGTTCCAGAACAGCTGATCAGAATTAGTTCAATCAACTCTGAGTATGTTGAGCCTGATGGTGGGGATGAAAAAAGGCCATCATCAATGGGGATCCGACACTACAATTCACCATGCCAACAGGTAAATAAAGGCAGAGCCTCCATTTCAATCGGGTGGCGCTAGAAATATGAACGCGTGCCAACACAGACCATGATGAGGAGTGGGGGAAGGATAAATACGTTAACATTTGTACTATACAGCGTTGCTCATTCATCATCAACTAGACTGGAATTTCCTTAATGAATGAAATTGCTGGAATTCTCCTACAGCCCATTACATTCAATTTAAATAGGAAGGCTAATAAGCTGTAACCTGACGGGACTAAATGCCGGTGGCAATCGGCTATGATTGTGAATAAAGATTGTGAAGTATAGATCAAATGTAAGATATAGTTTACTCATGGATCTGTGATTATAAATCACAGCCTATTCTTTTTTTTGCAGTGGAAAATGTGTCTATGGGTTCAAAATGAAGGTAAAGTTTAAGACATCTATTTTACATTAATCAAATCTTGCTCATTTCGTATGTCAGCTGCTAATAATGAAAAACTCACTTTTAAACTACATTTAGGCCTATTTGTTTCAGCTGCACCACAGTCATCCTCCCTCAGAAATAGTCACATTATCTCCAGCGTGATAACTACGATATGAATGCTCCAATCGGTGAAACTACAATATGTAAGATTACTGTTCATTGATCAGTTTTAACAGTTCAATGTAGCTCACAGTAAGTGTTTTTAGTGCAACTGTACACAGTGTTCTACCTAAACACGGACCTAGATTTTATTCTGTGCTGAGGATAAATCCACGATGTGCAGAGATAACTCTCTGTTCATACACTGATGACAGATTGATGAAGTGGTCATGTTCAAGATCATGTTTGGATAAAAAACTAATAGCCTATCTGTTTTAGCTTTAGGTTTATACTTATAGCCAGGGCTAAATAAATATGTTCTTCTTGCCATGAACAGGAACTAATAAATTACACACAATTTACCATATAAGGTTGCCTACCTTTAACATTAACCCAAGACCCCACAACAAGTTCAGCTAAGACTTACTGCTTGCTTACTGTCTACACTAGAGAGAGAGAGAAAATATGGGTGGCTAAAACAGTCCTGTTGGGCTTTACATATGATGCAAAGATTCCTCTGTATGTAGGTTTACCATGCTTCATCAAAGAGATGCTCTGGTGTTACATTGAAAAGATTACGTTCACAGATGCTTTAGGAATAATCACATTGTATTGGCTGCTGTTCCATGGTTTTAATGGTATTTTGTCAGTTTTGTTCTAGTTAGCCTATACTGTATTATACTCTGTCTCTCTGACTGCACCCGAGTCTTTATCCCCTCCCGTCTATTCTCCATCTTCTTTCACTGCAAAAACTATATTTAAACCGCACTAATTAGTACATTCTGTTTTCAAGAGTCATTAGAAAGAGCATGTAAATGCTTTATTTAAATAAAAAATAAAAACATCGGGGGCAATTTCTAGCATTTCAGCGTCCCCCCCAGCTTCAAAGTCGCTCCTACGCCCCTGATCTCAGCTCATTTACGTTAGTTTATAAACTAATAATGTAGCCGGTAGCTTAATGTAAGTTAATTAAAGGTATATGCAACAACAGATAAGAAATGTAACCTTGTCTTGTCAATAATGTTAACACGTTCCGTGTTAGAACGTTATCATTATGCTCTGGGTTGTTACAGAGGCTTTTGTGTCATTGGCTTTGTTAACGCTAGCTACATGTGGAAGTAACCTGCACATACTGTCTCTGCACCTAACACACCAAACCTCTAAGCTGGTGCTGTTGCATTTGGATTTCACGTTCGCTCAACGCCTGACCTCTTTCATGCAACATTTAAATGAAACGATAAAGTGTAACGTTAGCTGTCTATAAAAACACTTACTCTGGCGACGTTTTCTGATTTAATGTTGCGCCACTGCAGGGCGCAGTGGCGATGAGGCAGCAGCCGGCGGCTCAGTGACAAGCTAAGCAACATTGTTTACCCTGCACCGAACTGCTGTCATTGAACGGACTGGTTAACATCATAGGTTATATTCAGTCCATGGTCAAAACCGGCCAAAATCTTCTTGTTCTTCCAGCTTACAGGTGCATTACCGCCACCAACTGGACTGGAGTGAGACAAGACATTATGAGATTAATCCTCACTATAGTGTCTTTTCTACAACGATGCAGTAGCCTACATGTTGGACTGTTTCTGGTTGCTACAGTGTGTACATTTTCCAGTTGGGTGCTTACCTATTATATAATGTATGGTTGAGAGCTCTATCACCTATTCTCAGACAAGTGATTATATTTCCTTCCCTTCGTTTCCAGCCCTCCATCCTTCCAGCACCAACATGTTTTCATAGATGTCTTCCAGTGTCATTATTATCCTCGTACTCCTGCCATACTGACAGCGCATGTAATGAATGTCTTAGCTTCAGCTTTACTTAGTGGAATTTGCAGGTTTACATGCTTAATTCTGAGTGTTTGTTGACAAGAATATCCGCCTGCTCATTTCCCCTCTACTCTCATAAGCCCACACTTCAATTCCATCCTGTAAATTCTAATTAATATTTGATGGACAGTATCGGTTCTAAATGATGAACTGACAGATCTTATGCTTGTTAGTGCTGATAAGCTGTCAGATACAATAACAGTGTTATTTATTTCCTTCTCCTCTATCCACTGCAGGGCCAAGTAAATTGTCAGTAGCTCTGTGATATATACTGACACATGGTCTGATACTATTTTCTTAATATATTTCACTCCCTGGAATAGCCTATTACTGCAGATGCAAATGCAGCAAAGAGTTACATTTGTTGCAAGTCACATTTTTCCTCAGGAGTTTACTTTTTCAAAACTCAATATTCCATGAACAGTTTTCTCACTCCAGCTCAACCACCACCAAAACTTTGTATTGGCGGTGCACACAATTTTCAAAACTGTAAACTTTACATTCAAAAACATAAAGATTCATTTCATTTGTAATGAAGTCATGGTTTATGATAAACAAACAAAAAAAAACTTTAAAAAGACTATATTGACACTAATTACAATACTACAACTTGATGTTTCGCATCAAAATATAATGAATGACAAAGTGTTACTATAAGTAGACAAAGCGTTTGGGTACACGAGTTGATCCTGAGATGTGAATGAAGGGTTTTGGTTGCATTAGTGCATTTTGAGATGTCAGATTATCTGCTGAGCTACATGTGGTTTAAGTGAACTGTGTGAAGATTTCTGAATAGGTGACCCCCGCATGGAGAAATGTGACTTAGCAATTGAAAATAACTGTAAAGTCAAATCAGGTAAATATTTTCATATAGCCGAATATCACAACTTTGCCATCAATGAGCTTTACAGCGTGGACAATCATGATTACAAGTTCTAAATGTATTGTAAACATAGTATAAGAAGAACATGGATCCGTGAGGTGTTGTCTGACTGATGGAGACCTGGAAGACGACAGACTGAGCAAACACACAAGAGGCAAAACTCAAGCAAGCCACTCACACAGGAGAAAAGCACCACCACACACTGAGCGAGAGAGAGAGACAAGAGGAGAGGCTTAATGTCCTGGAGAACAAAGATCCAGAGTTAAAACATCTGGAATGAGGCACCGACAGCCAGGGGAGAGAGAGAGGTCCCAGGACGGTCCAGCACAGAGGAGAATGAGAAAAGAAGACAGAGAAAGAAATAGATTGAGCTCGGCACACAGTTGTGCTTGTGGGGAGCAAACACACACAGTGTTAAGGAGATGCAGTTGTTTGCAGAAACTTTATAGTATTATATTACATATAACAATATTATAAACTATCGTCGTCCAGGTTTGGACAATAGTACTCGGCTTAATAGATTCATTGAGACTAAGCTTCACATCAGGATGACAATGGTAACATAAGCAGCTAACTGAAGATTAAGACAAAAGGATGTTTCAAGTTTGCAAAGCATGAATCATAAATGCAAAATGCTTTATTGTAACATTGCTTATAATCAAGCACCTCAGTCACCTAGTCAGGTTAAACTGTTCAGTTTTAATGCCGTGAAGAACAAGTAAGAACGTAAAGACCATCTACTTATTATAACAAAATACTGTCATACAACTTTTTTCTTCGTGGTATTTGTTGAGATGTTGCAGGGTTGGAGTCTCCTACCTGATGATACACAGACATCTCCTTATCACCTGTTAAATCAGTAGCAAATTTTTAAACCTGCTGTATCTAGTCATCAAATAAGATACCTAGGAACAGATATGCGAAGACACTTCAGCTGTTTATTTAAACATATTTCCATATTTTTGGAACTGCCAGCATCACCAGAAAAGATCTGAATCACTTGGAGAATGTCTCTAAAGCCTGAATTTGTCACAGCCAGGCTGTATGTGTGTATGTAGAGAGTAACAAGGGCTTTATAATGAAGCGAAGCTCACATCAGCTGATTTTCACATTATCCTCAAGTTATGTTATATTTTTTATTTATTGATGCCTGTCACTACATTGCATCATCCCGCATAATGCAGTTAAAGTGGGCTTGGACGTTTTTAAAGGAAATAATTGGACATTAACTCCAATATTTACTTTTTTATGTATTTAAGTTTGAACACCTCACACACTGTTGAGTCATGGAGACGAATTGACGCAACGCCTCTCTCCTACCAGAGGGTGGCGTTGCAAGTCCAAGAAAGCAGAAGGTGGGTTCAAAGTGAAATGTAGGGCGGTGGACATGGACTGCCTCTGCTCTTCCATAACGTGTTCAGTCGTCACGTAAGTGCATTTTCTGTGACTCCTTACCAAGTTAAAACTACAGTATGGTTTATGCGTTTTGTCCTTACACGTTTTTGTTAGCACTGCCAACGTTAAGTTAGCCGTTTAAAGCACAAACCGCTGTAGCACCCGAATCGGTCACAGTGGATATGACTAGTGTAAAGGCTGCCGTGAACTCGCCTACTTCTTCACGACACTCAAAACATTTTCTGAACCAACAGTAACATTTTAAATTCAAGTATCGCCCTCTAAAACGCTCTCGTGTTATTTTTTATTTACGTAACTTTTAAATAATTGTAATTGAAACGCTACCATCGTTAATTACAGTAACGTCTGTACCGATCTTACCGTAAGGAGCTCAACAGCACGCCAAAGATCATAAGTAATCTTCTACTTAATATCGTGTGTTTGCGCAAGAAAGGCAATTTTAAACTGCCAGAATTTTGAACGCAGTCTGGTAGAAGGACAATTGATCTGTACTAGCAAAAGGACTAAATACAGTCAGTTAGGCACATTTGTTTGTCATGGCACCTTAATTACTACTCATGTCGTTACATTCATAAAGTCAAGGGACATATTTGTGTGTGTGTGTGTGTGTGTGGGGGGGGGGGGTTATGTTTTTAAAGTGTTGTAAATGTGTAACTACCCCTTAAACAGCTGGATTCCCCTTGAGAGGCCATGTACCCTGTAGACCTTCCAGCTGTAGATGACACTGATCTGACATCAGCATCTGAACAGTACCTCTCTTCTTTGGAGTCAAGACCTCTTCATAATGAGTGGTTTCAGTCATCGCAGTTGTCAAAGGTATCATAACACTTGTCATGTCTCCACTTTTTCATAATGACAATGGTGGTTTTTACTATCGCCAAAGAATAAAAAATCCAAAATATTCACCTCTTAATTTAATTACTGCAAGAAGTTGGGAGCATAGCAGAGGTGATTTTGGAAATATCTGCAAAAATCCTTGGCAGTGGTTTTGTTGGTTGCTCCTGGAAGTATAGCAATTTTGTTTGACATTAGACAAAGAAAAGTGTTTTTTGGAAAATAAATGTTCGTTGACACACTTCAGGTCAGGGAGTGTAGATAAAGATGCATGAAGTCGTTGTCTTCTCTGCTCAGGTAGCGATAACAGCAAACAATGTAAGGCGGTTGCAGCTGTTTGAAGATGACCAACCTGACTGTACAGTGCTGGCGCTTCACCCTCCTGATGATCCAACACGAGGTTTGGAACTAAACACGTTCCCTTTATCAGTCAGATGAAAGAAAAAGACTGATGCTTTCTGCTCTACCTTCCAGTGGCAGCTTTATACCTGCATGAGAAGTGGTGGTGTTTGGATGATGTCTTACGAACGTCTAACAAATCCAGAAGTGGCTTAATGTTGGTAAATGTCTGTTCGTATGTCAGCATCACTCCAACACAGTTATACAGATCAGGTCTGAATAGTGTGGGGGGAAAATACAATTATCCATCTAATAATTTTGCATGTAAAATGAAAAGATGGAAAAGATGTTTGTAACACAAACAAGTTGAACTTGTAAATCTTGTGCTGCGGAGACAGCACATTTCTCTTAGGCTCAGCCATTTCCTTCCACAAGCCACACTGAATCTTTGTCCTTACCAAGTAAGAGGTAAGGTTTTTTACAGAGACCTTGGGAAAGTTTTATTTTGGCTGAAAGAGGTCCTGGGTTTAAATCTTGGACTAAGACCAAAAGTGCTGCAACTTTTGAGTGTGGTACATTTGTCTGATATTAATCCCTGCATATCCCCAAGTCATGGATTTGTAAAGCAATTTAACAATGTCCCCAAATACTGATGTCAACATTTAAATTAATTTTGTGCAAGGACATGTGTGTCTTTGGAAATTCTGACATTTCTCTGTGTCACGGCTTTGCACTATGTTGCACAAATGGCTTTGAAGCCGAGAGCAGCAGAGGTTGTAATAATTCTTTCCTAGCCTGTTATCTGAAGATCACAAGCGGCATGTTGTTATCTCGGGATAACAAACTTGGCATACAACAAACATAGCATAGCTGCAACTTCACAGAGGAGTGTGTAGAGAATTTTAGAGATCCTTATAATATTTAGTGATAGACTGATTAATCAAGCCAATATCTGGCATTTTGAGATAATCGACAATGGCTGAGACCTGCACGCATGAGGCCGATATACAAAAAAACTGTCTACAGACACACCTGCAGGCAGCTCTGTCGGTGTGGCTGTTGTGGAACGATGCCAATTGACAGAAGTAACGTTTTTTAGCTTCAGCTGGCTAAATTTGCCATTGACAGCAAAAGGCGATAGCCAGCCCTGGCTACGGTTCTTATAAGCACAATTAAAGCTCAGTTTAAAAAAGAGCATTTTATACTACAGTATATTATCTGTATTTCTTTTTTTTTTTTACCAAAGCCTTATGTGTGAGGTCACCTGTGCTGTTTGTTTTCATCAGTGCTGGTGAGCTTTCTAAGTCAGCGTGTTCTCCCCAGGTGCAGTCAATTATGGAGAGAGTGATTGTGTTCCTGCTCAGTCGGGTAGTGGAGCGGTCATCACACGAGGAGGTGGTGTTCTCCCTGCACCCTCGCACAGAGAGCTGCAAACTGCTGTGGAGAGACAGCCAGGCGGTCGGCTTCTACACCGTCAAGCACAAAGGTAGGATGGAGGAGGGGAGTGAGAGGAAGAAGATGAGAATGTGAGGGGGATGGCTGAACAATTGATTTACTGTACGCTTATCACCTGTTGACTCGACATTTCTGCACACCACATGACTTTCTAGCAAGAACAGGTAACAATCACACATTTTCCATATACAGTAGATGTCTCGCTTCTGTTTACAGTAGCAGGGGAATTTACATTTAGCTGATGCTTTTATCCAAAGTGACTTACAATTGCTATACATGTCAGAGGTCACACACCTCTGGAGCAACTAGGGGTGAAGTGTCGCCTGCAGCTCTTCATCTCAAGAGCTCACTGTGGCTGCTCCTTGTTCCAGTACTGCCTGTAATAATGTGTAGCAGCGGCAGTAGGATTTTCGGTTTCCATTAGCAGAACTTTTTTGCAGCTCTGCAAAAAGGCGAAACAGATCAACAATGAGGCTTATGAATGAGATACAATTAGATTACACATGCCTCGTTTTCTTGTGAATCCTTCATGAATGCGAAGGCAACTTGTATCCACCATGGGAATGGCAGACTCCGCCACTAACAATGAAAACTACTGTATATAGAGAGGTAATTACTGAATGTAAGTACATTAAATATTATCAACAGGGTTTGAGTTCATGAAAAGCTTAAGCAGTTTAAGATCCTTATCAAAAATATTTCTGTATGTTGTGTTTTTATGTAAAAAAAAAAAAAAGATTAGGCTGATATTTCATTGTGAGATGTTTTAAGTTGTCAAATATTGAACCAGTTTGACCTAAATAATCCAGTATTCCAGACAAAATGGACTGAGTTAGTCACTGTGATGGATTGCGTTCTTTAAAACAGTACTTTTTCTGCTGCTTTTATCTCAGGCAGCCTGTGTGACAGCTGGAGCGCTCGCTGCTACCTGCTGCCTGTCCTGGACACAGTGCTGGTGAGGAGGAGCTGGAGGAGGAGAGGCTTTGGCCTTCAAATGCTGAAGGATTTGTGCTCCTCGTTCTCCACAGAGGGGTTTCTGGGAGTCAGTTCTCCACTATCACCCAACATGGTGGCAGGTCAGCTAAGATTCTCCTTTATCCTGACAAAGCCAATATATTTGTTTATTTACTTCCCAATTCTTTTCCTTCCTTCTTCATCTTTGCTTATCTAGAGGAGAATTTTGTCTGATGATTTGCCATATTTGGTAGAAGAATGCACGTTTCCTGTCATTGTTTGTCAGTGTTGTCAATGTGGAAATAACTAACAAAATCACTTGGAAATATTCAGGGCAGATCAAGGGTCAGGTCCCAGAGAGTCAGCCTCTTCTTTCTTTTTTAAATGAACTCCATGACAACCACTTAACAGGCTGTGTGTTCGTGTCTCCTGTGTGTTCAGTGTGCAGGAGGTTCCTGCAGCAGCATGAGGAACATCGGGACCGTCTGTATGAGGTGGAGGCTCCAGGGGGCTGGACTCAGCGACGAAACATCTGGCTCAACCTGCAGCTAGGCCGCTACCCCCTCAGTACAGATCATATTTGCCTTCATGTGTCTAGATGTTTGAAAGAATGTTAGATATGCTATTGCAAAACTAAAAATGTTTTTTGAGCTCATCTACATTTAAGTGTACCCCTCAGTTTCATGTGACCTCTTCTGACTCGTGTCTTTGTAGATATTAATGAGAGCAGTCCAACATCAGGAGAAACACAGAGGAATGAAGATGACTCCTCTCAGAAGGTGAGAATCTCCATTTTTCTTTGCTTGCGTTAAAAGAATCCCTCCAAATCACTTTTATCTTTTATGTTTAAAACAGCTACAGTTGATGCACTTTGAATTTATAGAGTGATTTTGGGACATAAGAGTGCCAATCCTCACAGACTTATTTGAATTCATCCGGTAAGTGATTGAGTGTAAGAGGCTACAAGGGCTCAAAATGCTATAAACAGGAACGGGACAGTGGCAACATTATCACGTTACCTTGACGACACTGAAACACTATTTTGGGTTTGGGACTTTTTTGTGGGCAAATGGCCCTTAAAGGGCCGACTGCCTAATTTATACATCTTGCAGGCTCTCGTCCTACAGAGTGGATGAGAGGTAATTGACCCTTCGCTAAGACACGCCCCAAATACACAGCTGGCCAATCACAGTGCAGTATAGGACTCGCTCTAACCGACACTTTCATGGCTGCACTCCATTCACGCTAATGTAAAAAGAGTCATTTTCTAGCTTTCTTCTGCCGTATTTCCATCTTTCATTTTTTTCACGTCCGTTTGGGTCAGTTTGAGTCAGTTTGACAGCCTGAATACAACCTTCAAATATATAATGCAACTGTAAAACTGTCTGCTTCTTTCTGAGATCACTTTTCCCAACAAATGTGACAGTATTTCTCTGGGGAGTGCAGACAGTGGCAGCGCCGACAGTTTGTCGGACTTAGCAACAGTAAGTAAGGGGGGGCGTGGCTTAGCGAAGGGTCAATTGTCAATAAATATCTATATTTGTCAATAATCAAAATACCATCAAACTACACACATTTCTGGCTATATGAACAATCAGTGAGCTTTGTGTTTATACGTGTCAACTTTTTTTTAACCATGTTTGCGTCAGGGTTAGCTGCTCCTTCCATGCTTGTTTGTTCACCGTTCTTCTTCTGTCTTCTCTTATAAGGCGGGTTTGTCAGGATTTTTCTCTCGCTTCCGTGCTTCCTCTGGTAACAACAGTGTTTCAAGTCACACGCTATGGACTCTGGCCAATTCCTTCAGGCAACTTCTGCAGAAAAGCGCACTTATGTAAAGGGTGCATAAAGGGCTCAAAATGTCTGCGAGAGGAGCCCTCGTGCACTTGAAAATTTGACAGTGGGACAGCCCTAAGCACTGAGTCTGTGAGTGTGGTAGGGCTTTTTTAAAGATCCAGATTTTTTGTTTCTGACTGAACCTGTGAAAAGTGTCACAGGTGTTCAGCTGGATCATTTTACTTCAGTCGTTCAGGCCTCAGCCCTCCCACGACCCAGAGTAAGTGGGTGTACATGATCATTGGATGTTTAGAAGATTGTCTTGGCACTGTTCAAAGACATTCTGGGAAATGTAGGAAATAATTGGTTGAAATAGACAAGAACAGTGGGAGCACGCATTCCTTACTATACAACAAATGAAGAGAATTTACAGCAAATCTGAATGGCGGACTGGCCTCTGAACACAGTGAACATTTTGTTCTACAAATTATCCAAGGTCACTCGTAATTCAGAAAAGGCAGTTGTGTATGAGCTGGGGGATGTGTGCTTTAATTCTCAGAACATTGCACCTGGAATATGTATGTAGAAATGAAAGCTTTGTGCCTTACTAGTCATTATATTGCGCAAGTGTCTGAGTCTCTCCTGTTTTCTAAGATGCAGACTTCCAATTGTAAACTGGACTTGACCTCACTGAGCACCTGTGATGTGAACATTCCATTGGTAATACGCTCTTCTGAACAACAAATTAAACCTTATGATCCAAGCCGAGGAGAAATCTCCCCAAGCTGCAAAAGTTCTCAAACAGGATGTAGCCCTGCAGCCCACGCCAATGATCCGGACCCTGGATCTCCCACCAGACCACCAGAGTCCGTAAACACAACACAAGCTCTGAAATCCAAGCCCTCTCTATCTGCAGAGCCCCGCAGAGAGAAGCCAGGGGAAACACAAAGAAGTACCAAACGAGTCAGAAGGACATGAGGTTACAGATACAAGCACTGTGTGCAACAGCAGCCCTCAGACACTAAGTGGATGCTAAATCCACCTGAACTGTATGAAATGAGGTTTGCAGACCTTTTAAAACTGATATATACAGTACAATATAAGTACGATCACAACTGTTTGGGGCTTTGCAAACCATGCTTCAATGACATCCATCACTCTCCTGGTACTTTGTTTGGGTGGGACAAATTGCATTTTGATTAATGACCTCACTTAATATCCAGCAGAGCTCCACCCACCTTTACATTTACATTTATTCATTTAGCTGACGCTTTTATCCAAAGCGACTTACAATTGCTATACATGTCAGAGGTTGCACGCCTCTGGAGCAACTAGGGATTAAGTGTCTTGTGTCAGGGACACAATGGTGGACCCAATGTGCCACCTTCAACCCAAGCGAGGTCAGATAAAACTAAACATGGTTCGACTTAATCAATCAAATCATACTAACATCATATGTACAGCATGGAAAGTAGCATGGTGTTAAAAAAACAATTTTGAAATTGGAAAACTTGTCTTGTCTTTATAAGTTGTATAGACATTTTGTGAAATACGCTTTTTCCCCCCTTTTTTTGCTGAGAATTAAATGAAAAGATTGATACCACACTGATGTCTGTATAGTAAATATGAACCTACAGTCATCGGCCAGTGAGCTTAGCTTAGCAGGAAATAAAGGGGGTTAAACAAGGGGAAACAGGTGACATGGTTCTGTAGCAATATCCAGCACCTCACTGCTCCTGGCCAAGAAATAATCCAGTTTTACAGTTTAGTTTTGTACAGTTCAGTTTTGCACCGATTAATCAAACAAGATTTTATTAGGTTACATTTAGGAGAAGGTTCCATGGGAAATAAGCTCATTAGAGGGTTTTCTTATCTTACTGTCTTTGATAGGCCTTCATCTCAGGGCAGTTGGTCCCCACTCCCTTCCCCCCTAAGACAGCTATGTAATATAAAGTCACCTGTTTCTTCACTGGCTCTTTGTCTTACATCCTGCAGACTGTTTGCACTCTGAATGTGTGTCGGACCCTTTGCAAAGAATAAAACTCTTAAAAGACATTGGGATTGAACTCTTTATTTTAGAAGATTTAATTTCCATTTCAGGACAGATATGTGAGATGAATCAATCTTTTTATCTACCTCTTGGCAACAAACTATTAGAATCAGAATCAGAAGGAGCTTTATTGCCAAGTATTACACATACCAGGAATTTGCTGTCGTGTAAGGTGCAAACATACAGTCAACATAAATAAATGTAGAAATATATGAACAGCGTTGCAGATATATACATGTGCATTATTCTGTGTTCTGTGCTGTGCAGAAGTAACACGACGGAACAGAAAATTGTGTACATATAAATATATAAACTGACACATAAAAATATACAACAATAAAGATCAATAACAAATATGTGCAACGTGCCAGGTCTCAGCCCGACAGGAGATGAAACGGTATTTACATGTGCAGAGACATTTGTATTATTTGCAGTGGGGGCCTTGTTAATGAGGCTAGCTGCAGACAGGAAGAAGCTGTTTTTGTGGCGAGAGGTTTTGGTCCTGATGGACCGCAGCCTCCTGCCAGAGGGGAGAGTCTGAAACAGTTTGTGTCCAGGGTGGGAGGAGTCAGCTGCAATCTTTCCTGCTCGCCTCAGAGTCCTGGAGGCGTGCAGGTCCAGAAGAGAAGGAAGATCGCAGCCAATCACCTTCTCTGCAGAGTGAATGATGCGCTGCAGCCTGCCCTTGTCCCTGGCAGTGGCAGCAGCGTACCAGATGGTGATGGAGGAGGTGAGGATGGACTCAATGATGGCGGTGTAGAAGTGCACCATCCTTAATTAAGTCAATTATAAAGTTTAAACAGAGGTACAAAATCATGAAACATAATTAACTGTGACTGTAATAAAGCAACCAGTACGCACTAATGGGGACACCTGTACACATATAAAAGGATTCAAATAACTGTCTAATATTAAAGATCCAAAGATGTTAATTAAAATTCATTAATGTTATAGAAGTCAATTTCTGCAAGGAAAAAACATTTAAAAATGTTAGGAATTATCCAAAATACTCATGGTAAATAAAAATGTTGAGATTCAAAATTACAATCATAAGATTTGGTGTAGAGCCTGTGGACACTGTTACCTTTTCTTTTTAAATTCCATATTTGTCTTTCTTGGTAGGAATGTAGTTTGATGACAGCGCGACCAGCACAGATCTGCACAACAACATCCTGAGGTCTAATCTGCCAGACTACAGAAAGCACCCGTGCTATTATTGGTTTAGACCTCGTTAGACTTCATATGAACCGCATAAAGCATAAGCTACATTTTCCTCGTCTCCTGCACCGCTGTCACCCGTCGGCACGTGTTGCCTGAAAACCGAGCGCACCTCTCTCACGCGCACACATAGGAACAGGAAGTAAGAAAAGAGGAAAAAATATCGGAGAAGGGAAAAAGTTACAATACAGTTTATGAAACATGAGCCGAATTTATGACAACACATCTTTAAAGAACAAACCAGTCCACAATGAGAAGTTTGACCGCGTATGGTCTCCCTCTACGTACGAAAGGTAGGGGCTCAAATACGTTTGTTTGCTGAATAAGAGTGACAGGTAAAAAGAGAAAATATTCAGATGAGATCAGTTCAAGTGTAACTACTAGGTGAACAACCACTTATAACTTAAAAGTCGAAAAAGTATTCAAATGAGTTCAGTTGAAGCTGACTTCAACTGAAACTGAAATAAAGATTTGAGACAAACTCTGGTGGGTCCATTATACAGATGAACAGAACCAAAACTGAACAGGAGAACAGATCTTTGAAGTCGTTGCACATTGCTCTCTTAAGCATAACAGAATGCACAGTTACAAGTGAAAGCAGAAAGATTTTAATACTTGACAGTTTTCTTCCACAGTGGCCCAGGGGTTCTTTTGGAAGGAAAGCTGCTGGATGTTTCCAGACATGCGATCAGTGATGACAACAATCAAAAGGTACAGTAGGCAAGATACAGCAAGATACAGCCAGGGACTCACACTGGCGCTATAAGTCTGGCTCTTTCTTCACACTTCCTTCTTCTGTATGTAAGCAAATTATCATTATAAAACTGCATTCCAGCTCTTTAGCTTCAGTAAAGAAAAAAAGTTGTTTAAAAATTGGTGGTTCTCACCAAGGGTCAAGAACCATTGTACAAAATGGAGTCATTTATTCATGCAGGTCAACACATCATTATTAAATAAAATAGTACATATAATATGTAGAAAACATAATGTCAAAAGGAGAAACCTCTGTCTTAAAAAATTAATGAATGTAATCAACATGTTTCTGAAATAAGGGTTCCCCAAACCTGAAGCCTGTACTAGGAAAGGAGTTTAACCTGCAGAGATTTAATTTGGGGTTATCAAGGCATGTCAGGGCTGACAAACTCTGACTGCCAGGATTGGTGTTAAACTGTACTTTGACGGTGAATAAGATGTTGGTTAGTTGATGCAGTGTCAACTTAATGGGATTTTGTTTTATAGAGTAATTAGTGAGGGGTAGTCTTGCATAGCAGTGCCGCTAAGCCCAGTCCTCTTCTGTGCTTGGGAAAGTTGGCTAATCAGAAGCAAGTGAGCTTTCAGGGAGGGGGGCCTTAAAGAGACAGGAGCTAAAACCGAGTGTTCAGAAAGAGGGTTAAAAGAGGTGCTGAAGCAGTGAACATTAAAGCATGTAAACATTTTTTAGTAGCAAGCATAAATACAAGTATGAACCTGAAAATGAGCATTCTACGGCACCTTTAAGAGACATTGCAGTGAATTGGGCCTATTGAGAAGAAAATCTATTTTTTCTCATAAATTTGTGACTATTATTTCAGACAATTTGTTGACTTTTTTTCTTGTAAATTTACCACTTCTTGGAAATTGGAAAGTTTTTTCATAGATTATTACCTCTCTTCCCTATTTTTTGGACACATAAAAGAGTCAATCTAAATATGTGAAAACTATTTAAATATACACATGGGCTGCATCTCAGAAATTGACTTGTTATTTAAGTAAGATCTACATCTAAAGCGCCTAGGCTGCAGGGCTGTTTGAATGTAATTCTAATGCTAATAACTTATTTCTAACACTCATTTCAGCTGCAACGCCGGTGGAAAGTGCATGTGGCAACAAGTCAGGATGAAATATAAAACTATTCTATAAAGTGGTGTACATGATACACGGGGCAACTTTTTGAGCAATGTTGCTGGGCAATCTTGCTAGTGGCAAGTCCGGCTATGTTTTGAACAGATAGGGGTGGTGCGGAGCGGGTGGTTGAATGGTGGGGGAAGTGGATTACGGTAGTAATCTTTACTCATTATCATTGATGGCAACGTTGCCCTGCACTATTGCTCTAAAAGTTGCTCCGTGTATCATCAGCTTTAGAGTTCTTATCATTAACAAAGAGTACAAAGGTAGTGTGTAGTCTACACTTACAATACCCTATTCACGTATAAAGGGTAACATTTAGTTAACCACAAAGATAACCTGCATGGAGCAGGTTAGAGGTGCAGTGTAAATTGCCATGACAGCATACCTCAGGAAAAACATATCCACTCTTCATAGTACGAGTTAGTCGGGAAGTTACACCTGACGTCACAAAGTTACTCCTGAAGTTACCTGAATGAGCTAGTTACCTCACTTCATAGTACAGGCCTTTGGTCTTGTCTTGGTTTTTATTGAACAGTATAAACAGGTCATTCACCATGTGCCAAAAACTGTGGCTGAAACTCTGAAAGCTTTTGCTCCATTTATGCTTTAAAGGAAAAAAATCTACTCATTTGTTGCGAAGAGTGCTCAAATCTTTATCAGTTTTAGTATTTTGGTCAGACTAAACATAAACACAGATAGACAAAAGACAAGCCAAACTTTGTTTTTGTTTCTTTTATTAATCTGTTGGCAGGTCCGTTTCTATGTGCTGTACATAAAACCCAGCCTCATCCATCAAAGGAAATTTGATGCCAGCGGGAAGGAGATTGAGCCAAACTTCAGTGACACCAAAAAGATCAACACTGGCTTCCTCTTGTCCTCCTACAGTGAGTAGATAACAACAAACTTTTGCATTTATGTTTGCATGTTTCCCTTCCTTCCTTTACACCTGGCCTGTTTCATGTCCTCACACCTTAAAAGCCCTTAAAACATGTTTTCTCAGTCACCTTGAGAGTTGTCGCTATCCATGCTGTCTCAACAAGCCTTGAGGAAATTTGGTACAGAAATTCGTTGTCCGCAGATGATGATGGCTGGACCCGAACCTTGTTCTTGTAACAATGCATACAATTAAGCAAGGAATTTGTGATCAGTTGTTGATGTATCATGTTGTGCAAGTTTGCCGTTCGTTATCGTTCATAGCTGAGTGGTTTCTGCTGGTATGTGAAAAAGTTAAAATTGTCTCTGCATTGGGTGGGAATCGAACCCGGGCCTCCCGCGCGGCGGCCGAGAATTCCTAAACCATTTTCCATTCTATCTCTATGGTAGTGTTAAACCTCTACGGATGTAATGCGGCTTTCGGCCACTGTCGCTTTGTGGCGCTGTGACCGCCTCAGCTCCGGCTTTCTTCGTCAAGTTTTCATTCGGTGACTGGAGAAGAACAGAGATGTCGTCAACAGCAACAACTTCGTACTGTTAGTTTTGTCCAACAAAGGTAAGCGACTTTTTGTATCTTTTTGACTAAGAACTAGATAAAAATGAGCAGATATCTGAGTTGTCTTGGGAAATTTCGGAGCTTTGTATATTAAATGACATCGACTTGGGCTTTTCTGTTTGTGGCACATCTGGTTAACGTTTCTCAGTTCAAATTTATTCAAAGGGAAGGGGACAAGGCAAAAATAAATAACTCACTGTCAAAACAAGAATATCAACACATTTACAAACTTGCATTGAATGAGCTAATAAATATCTGAGGTGTTTATATTATAGCTTTACGAATGACATTCTAAGTATGGTATTTTAATAACTAAGCTACAAATAGTGTGTGAGTGCACATATATATGTATTTGTAAATATAGCTGCTATACAAAAATGTGGAGCAGCAATGAGCTTCAATTGCCTATAATGACTAGTGCAAGTCACTTATTTTGTAAGGCAAGAGTCTTTCTAGTCTTTACTGATCTGTTGACTGGATGATTCTCAGAACGCCATTATCATGCTACTGTCAAATCCTATTCTTACTGTCATACAGTACAAGTCACCTCTGTGGAAACAGGGGTCTTTTACATAATGTGGCAATGTTTAATTTTTATCTTTAAAGTATGTGTTGTATTTTGAATGTGTGTTTATAATAGTAATATTTTTGTCATGTACCCTGCGTCTGAAATTAAAGTTAAAGCCAATAAAAGAATGTATATTTTGGGTCACTTCAGGAAATATTGTCAATTTTTAGGCTAAAAGAACATAATTTGTTGGTTTTACTGTTCTCAAAAGTCAAGAAGGGTCCTATTTTAACCCAAAATTATGTAAGGATTAAGAACATGTGTATGTTTAATATATACTGTTATTTTTCTCATATGTCACAGGCCAGCATGCAAAAATCTATCAGTTTTTTTCCTGGGAGGATCAAAATTGTTTTCCACAAGGGACCTCTGGGGTACCTTCTGCAGCATCCAACTGATGCAGCTAAGCTGTCAATCCTTCTCTGCAGGACAGGTCTGCACCTCTGTGGGAGGACATAGTCAAACAAAATGCCCTGACTGTGGTCTGTCAGAGAGGAGGGGATGCCTCAGACAGGACAGAGGTGCTGGGGGACTACATTCTGCAGTTTGGTGAATATAAGGGAAAATCCTTCCGGTGGCTTTTGGAAAACAATGTAAGCTACACAATCTACCTCATCAAGCACACAGAGAAAGAATAGGCTGCAGGGGTGTTAAAGACTGAGGGGCAGAGTAAGGCCAGTTTATTGTCCTTTGTGGGTAATGCCTGCAGCTTTGACGAAATCCAAAGACTTCTATCTTATGAGTCAGAAAAGCCCGCTGCTCGAGCAGCCTCAGAGGATGACCAGCTGGTTGGCTTTGGCATTCTTACCGAGAGCACCTGGCGGGAGTTGTGGGAAAGCAAGGCTGATGGCTATGCAGCCTTCATCCAGTTTTTCAGGGACTCAGATGTTAAGACTGCAGCAGTACCTGAGGAAGAAAGAGTCAGCCTCTGTCTCCTCTCCACCAATTCTTGCCCCAAGCGCACCTGATGAAGCCATGAGTAGGTTTCTTTCAATATACACAAAATGTGTTCGTTTTTTGTAACTGTACATCAAAATATAAGTCAGTCATGGAACATGTGCTTTTAAACAAAATAATAGTAAAATTTCTGGATATAAGTAGTTGGACCTGTTCTTATCATCAGAAGTGTGGATGAGGACAGATCTCCAATCTCTGGGACTGTGGCCTGGATTCCACCATATGCTCAAGCCAGGAAATGCTCTTTCATTATGGCGTCTCCCTCCACAGCCAGAACTCAGTGACACTGTATCGGCACTCCCATTCCGTATAAAGCCAGATATAGTCTCAGCTGGTGTAGGCAGGCCTCGAGTGATAGTTGGCACCAGTGGGCAATACTACATCTTTGCTTCACGTCTTCGCTGCAGGATGTGCAACAGGATATGGTTTGCTGACAGTACTCAGTGGTTGGATAAACTGCCGAAGCGGTTCACAAACATTCTGCCAGCATTCCTAACCTACAAGAAGTCCATTTACAAGTCTGTGCTTCTTGAGCTGAGGCACACTGGCAAGTCACCCTCAGACATGGCAAACCAGGTGAATGAGCTGATTCACCTTAAATTTGAACAAGCTCATCTGGCATACCTTTGCAGCATACAGAATGTCCGGGATGAGGCTGGGGTCTACGGGCAGACGACTCTTAGTCACTTTGTGAGGAAGGATGACACACCACAGTCACCACAGAGCCTATCAAAACACAGATGAGTGGTGTGGAGTCTCTGTCTCTGCTCACTATCTGACTGATTGCCTTATTGATAAGTGCCAGCGCCAGCTGACAGCTATCACTAAACTCCTGCAGGGCACTTTTGGACAGGTCTTTCAGTCTGAATACACCGGGAATGTGGCACGAAAAGTTACTTTGACATCTGGCACCATGTCAAGCTATGCAGCTATGAACTAGAATTGGATGATTGCCTCCTTGGTGATGGTGCAGTCTGAGGCAGAGAAATCCCTTGAACCCATGTACCAGGGGTTAGCCAAGACGTACAGTGATGCAGGGGTGGAGAAGGCCAATTACCACTGGGTAGGCAGGTGAGACCTATCTGCATCTCCAATCACTGTCAGTCATACATAACTAAATCATACATATTCTAATCAGTTTCCCCTGCTTGTGTTCAGGGATTGCAGCGATCTTCACCATGGAGAACACCTCAACTGGGATGCCTGGAGGACCACACAGTCTATCACCTATGAGGGCACTGATGGGACTCTGGTGAACACCTGTGCATCCTGTACACAGTACAACCCCAACATTGTGGTCCAGATAGATTTGTTTCACTGTATGAGATGTTTCACACAGGAGTGCACTTCAGAGCATCATCCCCTGTACAGCACCTTTGTCAGCTCCTCTCCACTGCCTTTTCTGTCGTGGATCAGGAAGACCCGCTGAAGCTGAAAGATGCTAATCGGTTCTATGGAATTCAGCCACCAAACCCTACAAACCAGCACACCAGAAAGCACTGTAGGACCAGAATTCCACTGCCAACAGAACTGGTTGATAGAGCATTTCCACCTGACCACAAACTCATGCTCTAAATGCTAAAGACGTGGCGGATCCAGAAGGTGCACATACTTGGTGGGCGGCTCAGTGACCCTGAGATCAAAGAGGGAATCCTGTACAAGTATGGGGAAACTCTGCAGCTTAATCATGTCCCTGGTGAAGGTGTATAAGTCCCAATCTGGATTCCAGTCAAGGGAACATCACAACAGGAGGGGTATCATTTCCACCGGTCCCATTGGATTACTGGAACAACTCGTGTGTCCTGCGAAATGCCAGAGTGCCATCCAGTTCAACTTGATTGGAACAAACATAGGGTGCAAAGGAAAGATGATTCTTCTGTTCTTCTGCCTCTCCCCTCTGGCCCAACACCATCCACAAACCCAGCACCACCCACTGTTGTGACTGTGAGGTTTAAGTTCTTCCAACTTAAACCTGCTGCAATCACTAAGCTACAGATGTTGTCACAAGGAAGCATGGAACCTCCAGATAAAATAGGTAAGTTAATACTTCTAGAACCAGTATATTAAATAAAATTGTAAATGATTTGTTTTACTCATCAACATCAGCTGAATGAATATGAGTAAAATAAAAATGAACTTGCTTTTATTTGTTACAGAAACCTCAAAAACTCCACCCCTGCTATTGCAGTCCTCATCAAGATATGCCCACACTGGATCAATCAAGACTGGTGGACAAGTGTTCGTCTTGGACCACAAACGCTGGACATCACCAATGAAGGAGGCTATCTATGGCCTCCTAGTCAAGTATCATGGACAGAAAGACACGTTCAAGCTTGTAGATCAAGACTACGTAGCTATGGTCCATCGGCCTGCCACAAATCCAAACAGTCTTCTTCACCCCACAACCAAATACCATATAACACAGTACATAAAACACCAGGCTAAAGAGTTGAACGCAAGCTCATCTCTGAACACCAGTCCAGAAAAACCTTTGGAGACACAAAAACTGTGGCAAAGTTTAACAGAGGGAGTGCTCATGTCCCAGTTGTAGAACTGCCACCAGCCATTGTGAATCCAGCAGATCCGGTCTCGCTGCCAGCATCTGAAAAGCCACTAACACAGGAGAATGTACAGAAAATGGTATAGGACATAAGCAGCAGCAACAAAAACCCAGACAGACGAAAAAATTCCTCTCGTGCAGGCATCCAAAATCCCGTAACCAAAGATCATCAGTTCATCACTTTCATCAACAAGGGCAAGTGTTTAAAGCCTATTCTAAGGAGAGACTGACAAATCCCAGAATGGCTTTTGAGAAGTTTGCGCAGACTGACTTTTTTCGGCATGAACTGCAATTAATAAAGCGCAGAGTGGAGGAAAACTCTGAGAAGACGAGGAAACTATCAGAGCCTCAACATCAGGGAAGAATGTGCCATTTCTGTTGCACAGAGCTGAAACAGGGCCGAACAACACATTCACAAAGGGTTCCCAGGAGTGGCTGGGAAAAACATTTACTGCCCAATCAAAGTCCTTGCTTTATAAAAAGACAGAAGTATGACCAATGAAATTACCTAAAGGGTTTTAAGCCCCGTCATTCTATGGCGTGGGAAAGGAGAGGTGGGCAGCAGAGAGAAAGAAATTGTAAATCTGAGGTTTTGTGGATAGACTTACATACATTTCATATTTTAATAATGTGTTGTTCATGTTGCAGCATTCTGTTGCTCCATCCATTTGTTTCAAATACTGTAAAACTTTTAACAATAAATAGCACAGTCCCAAACACATTTTGACAAATAAACGCAGGTCCCCATTAAACACATGGTCTGGTTTTCATATAAGTTCTTTAGATGCATAAAACCTCCTAAACCCTGCTGGGTCGCCCACTTTAGCTGCTTCTTAGTTGCTTAGATTGTTCAAAAAAATATTAATGTTAAGACTAAACGTATGATCAATATGTCAAAATGAACATGCTACACATCCTTGGTTAGATGCTCAACAGATCAATCGTTCAGTTCATTTAACAGAAACAACAAGCCCCAAACTTTTATTCTTATAGATTTACCAGTGTAACCTCACCTGCATGGTACAAGAGATGAAAAGGAAAATGAAGTGCCGACTCCTGTTACCTTTGAAGCGCTCGTTAAGTCTGCTTGTTAAGTCCCAATGTGTCCCTTCCTTTATTATTTATATTCCTTTGGTCTGTAAGGGTCCAGGGTTTTGAAGAATCAAAACAGCTTTTCATAAAAATAATCCAGGTTGTGAATCCTGTCATGTGAAGTCCATCGCTCTCTGTGTGTTAACTTCTGCCACACTTCTCTCATCCTGCACCCTGTTTTCGTTTTATATTTGCTAGTTTTGCTTAGTATTTAGTTATTGTTCTTCCACCATGTTTCCACAACTTCTGCCCAGCCATGTCCCATCGCTTTGCAGCAGTTATAATTTCACTTGTTTATATTTGCTTTTTTTGTTGTTTTTTTACTTGTAAATGCTTGTTTTAGCACTCTCCATATTCTACTGACGGCATATGTTTGAGTAGATATTGTTATGTGTACGTTAAACTGGAACCAAAAGCACAACAGAGCCGGATAGACGTTCTCAGTACAAAGGGAGTTTATTGAAGGAAACAATCTAAAGAAGCAGGTGGGCAGGCAGTACCAGTTAGTCTGTGAGACGAGGGAGAATACACAAGGATTAGTTCACGCAAGTAAAAGTCAGAAGACAAGGTGCATACCGCTGGAGACTTGATAACGGGCCTTTGATTGGGAACGATGTGCAGGTGTGTAGAGACACAGAGTGCAGGAGCCAGAGAGGAGAGCCACGCCCTCCTTCAAACCAAGTAGACTCACAGGGTAAAACAGACAGATAGGCACAATAGGGTGGGGAAACAGCAGAGAATGAAAGGTAAACAAAGGAGAGAGACCACCGGATAGAACAGATATAATAAAACACTCATGTTAAGTATAGAACTTGTTTCACTTGATTTCTTCTTCAAAGCACTGCTTAGTTTATTTTTGATGTGAATAATCGGTCAATATTTTATTTTATAATTTAATTTTGAATGCAACAAAATAGGTCAGAACCAAGGTTATTATAGTTTTGGATTTTTCCTTAGTTTCCGTTTTGACTTTTTGTATTCTATTTCAGTTTAGTTAATTAGTTTTTAACGTGAATTTTTATTTTATGAAAACGCTTAGTTTTAGTTTAGTTTTTATTATTTTTAGTGTTAGTTTTAGTCTTTGTTGCTGCAAAAGTAGACTAGGAGCCAGAGCGTTCAGCTATCAAGCTCCTCTCCTCTGGAACCAGGTTCCAGTTTGGGTTCAGGAGGCAGACACCATCTCCACATTTAAGAGTAGGCTTAAGACTTTCCTCTTTGATAAAGCTTATAGTTAGGGCTGGCTCAGGTGAGTCCTGAACCATCCCTTAGTTATGCTGCTATAGGCCTAGACTGCCGGGGGATTTCCCATGATGCACTGAGCTCCTCTCTCCTCTACTTTCTCTCCCTCTATATGCAACCTCATCCCATTATTGCATGTTACTAACACAGAGTATGGTCTAGACCTGCTCTTTTATGAAAAGCGCTGTGAGATAACTGTTGTTGTGATTTGGCGCTATATAAATAAAATTGAATTGAATTGAAATGAATGATGCCAAGCTCAGTTCAGTTTAGTTCAGTCCAGTTTAGTTTATTCACAAAACATTAAAATACAACTACAATCACTAGAAATAATGAAGATTTGTGAAAAGGGACACTTTTTTAAACTATCTGAAGCTTACACACTAAGCAAATATATACATATATTTGAAGTACTAACACATTATAATAATAATCAGAAGTGAACAGCAAAGTGGGATACACATCTCTTTCTTAAAAATAGAAATCATTAAGTCATTTGTCTTTGATAACAGCCCCAAATGGGATTCGGACCTGCATCCAGATAATCTTTTCTAAAATTTCAAAAGTTGTTCAGCACCTTGGACAGCAACCAGAAAATGCTGCTATCTGATTGGCTGTAAATTACAACTTGCCCCCGCATGGCAGGCGAGAATTCTACCATTGAACCACCAATGCTTGAAAAAGCTGTCCCGTATGGGCAGACACGCCCACTTTCTGGTGGACTTCTCACTTGGCATCCGTGGCGGTGAGAATTCTACCAATGAACCACCAATGCTTGAAAAAGCTGTCCGGTATGGGCAAAGCCGTCAAATTGTGTGCAGACGTTCATGGTCCCCAGAGGAGACGTTATACTGACTATGGTGTTTCTCTAACTTTTCCCCTAGCCCCACAATGAATCGTTACTGGTATTTTCTCTGGCGCCCCCATGAGATTGATTTTTGTGATTTTGAGTGAAATGTCTCAACAACTACTGGATGTATTGTCATGAAGTTTGGCGCACACATTCAGTTTCCCTTCAGGATAAACTGTAATTTCCAATGCCTAATGAATAAGTCAGGATGAAGACACACGTGGCCAGTTTCATGTCCTCATACCTTAAAAGCCCTGAAACATATTTTCTCAGTCACCTTGAGAGTTGTCGCTATCCATGCTGTCTCAACAAGCCTTGAGGAAATTTGGTACAGAAATTCGTTTTCCGCAGAAGATGAATCCTGCTGACTTTAGTGGTCCCTTGACTTTTCCTCTTGGCCCACGATGAGGTCAAACCAATGTCTCATTTTGGGCAAGATTGAAATTTTGGCTCAGAAAGTTACGTAACCATCTGAAACAAGTCAGAGCGGCACAGAACAAACTAAGGCGCTGCTTTCAACTTGCAGTCTCCCGTTGGGGCGTTGGTGGGAATCCCACTTCTGATAAAATCGATTTCGGCTGGACCCGCACCTTGTTCTTGTAACGATGCTTGCAGTTAAGCAAGGAATTTGTGATCGGTTGTTGATGTATCACGTTGTACAAGCTTGCCGTTAGGGTTTCCTTCACAGCTGAGTGGTTTCGGCTGGTACGCGACAAGGTTAAAACTTGTCACTGCATTGGCCGGGAATCGAACCCGGGCCTCCCGCGTGGCAGGCGAGAATTCTACCACTGAACCACCAATGCTCGATGAAGCTGCCCCGTAGGAGCTGACGCGTCCACTTTCTGGTGGAATTTTCAGCTGGCCTCCGTGGCGGCTAGAATTCTACCACTGGACCACCGCCGCTTAGTGAACAAGTCAGATTTGGACTGACACGCTTTCGGGGTGAAGACACACCTGGTATTTGGCCAGTTTCCAGTCCACATACTTCAAACAGTAAAAGCCCTCAAAACGCACGCGGCCACTTTCTGGTGGAATTTTCAGCTGGCCTGAATTCTACCACTGAATTCTCTCAGTCGTCTTGACCAAATTGTGTACAGACGTTCACATTCCCCAGAGGAGACATCATACTGACTACGGTGATTCCCTGACTTTTCCCCTAGCCCCACAATGAACTGTGACTGATATTTTCTCTAGCGCCACCATGAGATTGATTTTTGTGATTTTGGGTGAAATCACTCACCGTCATGAAATTTGGCGTACACATTCACTTTCCCCTCAGGATAAACTGTAATTTCCAGTGCCTAATGAACAAGTCGGGTGTGACCGGAAAGCTGTCAAATTGTGTGCAGACGTTCATGGTCCCCAGAGGAGACGTTATACTGACTATGGTGTTTCTCTAACTTTTCCCCTAGCCCCACAATGAATCGTTACTGGTATTTTCTCTGGCGCCCCCATGAGATTGATTTTTGTGATTTTGAGTGAAATGTCTCAACAACTACTGGATGTATTGTCATGAAGTTTGGCGCACACATTCAGTTTCCCTTCAGGATAAACTGTAATTTCCAATGCCTAATGAATAAGTCAGGATGAAGACACACGTGGCCAGTTTCATGTCCTCATACCTTAAAAGCCCTGAAAACATATTTTCTCAGTCACCTTGAGAGTTGTCGCTATCCATGCTGTCTCAACAAGCCTTGAGGAAATTTGGTACAGAAATTCGTTTTCCGCAGAAGATGAATCCTGCTGACTTTAGTGGTCCCTTGACTTTTCCTCTTGGCCCACGATGAGGTCAAACCAATGTCTCATTTTGGGCAAGATTGAAATTTTGGCTCAGAAAGTTACGTAACCATCTGAAACAAGTCAGAGCGGCACAGAACAAACTAAGGCGCTGCTTTCAACTTGCAGTCTCCCGTTGGGGCGTTGGTGGGAATCCCACTTCTGATAAAATCGATTTCGGCTGGACCCGCACCTTGTTCTTGTAACGATGCTTGCAGTTAAGCAAGGAATTTGTGATCGGTTGTTGATGTATCACGTTGTACAAGCTTGCCGTTAGGGTTTCCTTCACAGCTGAGTGGTTTCGGCTGGTACGCGACAAGGTTAAAACTTGTCACTGCATTGGCCGGGAATCGAACCCGGGCCTCCCGCGTGGCAGGCAGAATTCTACCACTGAACCACCAATGCTCGATGAAGCTGCCCCGTAGGAGCTGACGCGTCCATTTCTGGTGGAATTTTCAGCTGGCCTCCGTGGCGGCTAGAATTCTACCACTGGACCACCGCCGCTTAGTGAACAAGTCAGATTTGGACTGACACGCTTTCGGGGTGAAGACACACCTGGTATTTGGCCAGTTTCCAGTCCACATACTTCAAACAGTAAAAGCCCTCAAAACGCACGCGGCCACTTTCTGGTGGAATTTTCAGCTGGCCTGAATTCTACCACTGAATTCTCTCAGTCGTCTTGACCAAATTGTGTACAGACGTTCACATTCCCCAGAGGAGACATCATACTGACTACGGTGATTCCCTGACTTTTCCCCTAGCCCCACAATGAACTGTGACTGATATTTTCTCTAGCGCCACCATGAGATTGATTTTTGTGATTTTGAGTGAAATCACTCACCGTCATGAAATTTGGCGTACACATTCACTTTCCCCTCAGGATAAACTGTAATTTCCAGTGCCTAATGAACAAGTCGGGTGTGACCGGAAAGCCGTCAAATTGTGTGCAGACGTTCATGGTCCCCAGAGGAGACGTTATACTGACTATGGTGTTTCTCTAACTTTTCCCCTAGCCCCACAATGAATCGTTACTGGTATTTTCTCTGGCGCCCCCATGAGATTGATTTTTGTGATTTTGAGTGAAATGTCTCAACAACTACTGGATGTATTGTCATGAAGTTTGGCGCACACATTCAGTTTCCCTTCAGGATAAACTGTAATTTCCAATGCCTAATGAATAAGTCAGGATGAAGACACACGTGGCCAGTTTCATGTCCTCATA